CAAGTCATCCTGCATACTGAAGCTGTTTTCCTAGGACTGAAATAGACGATATCATCCCTCTTCTCGTATACCTACAACGATTCCTTACTGTTTGCAGAATAAAACCCAAAGTCCTGTCAGCCCCGCATCCCCACCATGCCTTCTGGCTTCTCACCATCGTTCACGCTTTTCTTCATGAAGCGCTCCTCCTCACCACTCTCCATATTGCAAAGCTTTCTCCTCTTTCGAGGTCTTATTCAAATACCTCCTTTTTGGCCGGGCGCGGTGGCTTATGCCTGTAATCCCAGCATTTTGGGAGGCCGAGGCGGGTGGATCCCTGGGTGACAGAGCAAGACTCCCTCTCAAAAAAAAAAAAAAAAAAAAAACACACACACACACACACACAAGCAAAAAACAAAAACCTCCTTTTCCAGCAAGCTGTCCCTAATACCATGTCAGAAGTAGCTGCTTCTCTCTGTGCACTTCCAAGACCCACTGTTCCACTATTTGTACCAAATGCATTTGGTCGTGTGTAATATTTAGGTATTATGTCTATGTCTCACATCAGATTGTGAGCTGTCCAAGGGCTAAGACTATGGCATGATTTTTCTCTTCTCCACACAGTAGGTACTCAATAAATATCTGTTACACTGAATTGACTATCACCAAATTTCACTCCTAACAGTTACCTTATTATCCTGTGTTTGGTCAGTGATGCCCGTAATATCAAAATGAGATAACATCCTTTTATTTATTTATTTAGAGACAGGGTCTCACTCTGTCACCCAGGCTAGAGTGCAGTGGCGTGATCTCGGCTCACTGCAACGTCTGCCTCCCGTGCTCAAGCGATTCTCCTGCCTCAGCCTCTTGAGTAGCTGAGTTTACAGGCACATGCCACCACACCCGGCTAATTTTTGTATTTTTAGTAGAGATGGGGTTTCACCATGTTGGCCAGGCTGGTCTCAAATTCCCAAACTCAGGTGATCTGCCCGCCTCAGCCTCACCTTAGTGCTGGGATTACAAGTGTGAACCGCTGCACATGGCCCTTTCATTTAAAAGAATAAAAATACTTTCTCCAAGAGCTACAGTTCTGCATTTACAACTGCCCTTCAACAGTTCTGTTTAGAGGCTTGCAGCTCATGTATTCATTCACTCAATGTTTTTTAGGTGTATGTTCTGAGCTTGGCATTGTTATAGATTATTATAACGCAAAGAAAGGATAACTGCAAAATAAATCAATAAAATGTAAAAGACACTGTCCTTAAGAGCTTGAAGTTTTGTTTGTTTGAGACAGAGTCTCGCTCTGGAGTGCAGTGGCATGATCTCGGCTCACTGCAGCCTCTGCCTCCCAGGTTCAAGCAATTCTGCTGTCTCAGCCTCCCGAGCAGCTGGGATTACAAGCACCTGCCACCATGCCCGGCTAATTTTTGTATTTTTAGTAGAGACAGGGTTTCACCATATTGGTCAGGCTGGTCTTGAACTCCTGGCCTCAGATGATCCTCCTGCCTCAGCCTCCCAAAGTGCTGGGATTACAGGCATGAGCCACTGCGCCTGGCCAGAGCTTGAAGTTTTATGAGAGAAACAAACACAAAAACAGTTGTAATATGTTACAAGTGTAGTAATGGAGGTATCACCAGGTGTAATAGGAGAATGGAAGAGGGATGCTTGTGATGAACTTCTTCTCCAAGACAATGGCACAGTAGGAAGAACAAGGACGAAACAGGTCTTAACTTACTGGCCTTCTACCTGGCCAGTGATTTAACCTTTCAACCCCGTTTCTTCTGCTAGACACTGTGAGTGATAAAGACCTTTTTTTTTTTCTTTTTTTTTTTCTTTTTTAGAGACAGGGTCTCTTTCACCCTCTGACATGCTGGAGATTGCAGTGGTGCAATCATAGCTCACTGAAGTTGTCTTTTTATATATTGCAGGAATTGCTGTAAGGGACAAACTAATAGGAGGCTAAGGTGGAAGTATCACTTGAGTCCAGAAGTTGGAGACCAGCCTGGGCAACATAGACAATTTGAAAAAAATCAGCTGGGCCTGGTGGCATGTGCCTGTAGCCCCAGTTACTCAGGAGCCTGAGGCAGGAGGATCACTTGAGCCCAGGAGCTATGATTGTGCCCCTGCACTCCAGCCTGGGCAACAGAGTGAGACCCTATAATTAATAAACAAACAAACAAATAAATTTGTATACAAGTACTATAAGCTATCCCCTCCTGCCACCTTTCCTATTCCCACAGTCTTGTTATCCTCCAGTTCACCCCAGATCAGAATCTTAAAACCATTGTTGATGCCTTCTTCCTTTCCCTTCACACCAATGTCACCAAATCCTCCCCACCTGCCCTGGCACGTTCTCTGCATCCTACCCTTCCTTTCTCTTTCCATCTTATCGCAGCCTAATGCCCTCCTTGTCATAGAGGGCCTCACACCTGGACTGTTGTGAGGGCCCCCTGTGCCTGTGTCTTTCAGTCCTACTCTTTTTGTTTTTATTTATTTATTTTTTTTGAGATGGAGTCTCGCTCTGTCACGCAGGCTGGAGTGCAGTGGCTTGATCTTGGCTCACTGCAACCTCTGCCTCCTGGGTTCAAGAGATTTTTCTGCCTCTGCGCCCTGAGTAGCTGGGACTACAGGCATGCGCCACCACACCCAGCTAATTTTTGTATTTTTAGTAGAGACAGGGTTTCACCATATTGGCCAGGCTGGTCTCGAACTCCTGACCTCGTGATCCATCCGCCTCAGCCTCCCGAAGTGCTGGGATTACAGGCGTGAGCCACCGCGTCCGGCCATAAATGGTTCTCAAATTTGAGGCACAAACTGCGGGGCCCCATTCTCAGAGAGACTGTCTCTAGAGGTCTGGGACGGGGCCAGGGAATTTACATTTTTAGCTGACTCCAATGAGGGTTTGCAGACCTCGCTTTGAGTATATCTGCATGGATGACCTTGTACTTGTCACTTCCGCCCTTTCACTTCCACTCTATGTGGGCAGAAAACTTGTCTTCTTGTCTGTTTGTGAGTCAGCCCCCAAGCACCAGCAATTAATTGCCTAGCACAGAGAAAGTGCTCCCCAAATTTCACTTGTACTTGTTCAGAATACAATGCCATCCAAGTTCTCATTTGGCACTTACAACAGCTGCGCCAGGTAGGAAGAAAGGGCGTCCTTCTTGCAGACAGATGGGGAGAGAGTCCAAGCCACCAGAGAGCAGAGACTGGCTGACGCAGGCTTAGTTAGAAACCATAGTGCAAGCCATACAGTTGCTTTAGTTGTGGGCTCCCTGGCACTAGCTTCCTGGACTGGTGTTGAACTTTAAGCCCACTTTTCTCTTCTAGAAAGGAGTGAGGAAGGAACTGACATTTATTGAGCAATTACTCTCTGCTAAGTACTGGGCCGCAGGATGTATGCATTATTTCAGGGGATCAGGGAAGTACAGTAATGGATACCCCAGTTTTTTTTTTTTTTTTTTTTTTTTTAGACAGAGTTTCGCTCTTGTGGCCCAGGCTGGAGTCCAACGGCACGATTTTGGCTCACTGCAGCCTCTGCCTCCTGGGTTCAAGCTATTCTCCTGCCTCTGCCTCCTGAGTAGCTGGGATTACAGGCATGTGCCACTATGCCTGGCTAATTTTGTACTTCTAGTAGAGACGGGGTTTCTCCATGATGATCAGGCTGGTCTCGAACTCCCGACCTCAGGTGATCTGCCCACCTCGGCCTCCCAAAGTGCTGGGATTACAAGCATGAGCCACCGCGCCACTGTACCCAGCCAGGAAGCTTTTTAAACAAGATAACAAACAAACAAACAAACAAACAAAAAATAGTAGTAATAAAAGGCTAAGTTACTCCCTTTAAAGGCAGGCTTTGGAAAGGAAAGATCATTACTCTTACCCTACACAGTTCAGAACAGTCTGATTGACTCAAAAGACAAGAAAATGGAAAAAGTGTTATATATGTTGGATAGCAAAGGAATCATTAGTTGCAGATTATATGATATGGATACAAAATCCTAACCAATAAGGTGATTAGACACAAATTTAAAAAATCAAAATCAAAATAGAGAAATGTATGCATGAGAATTGTAAATATGATAGAAATGGCATTCATATCAGAGGAAAATGGATGCATTATTCAAAAACTGTTGTTGGGATGTCTGGCAGCCCATTTGGAAGGAGAAAAAACCAAATCCTAATTTCATTCATCTGAAAATAAACTCCAGATAGATTAAAGAATTTAATGTTAAAATAAAACTGCAGGAAAAATAGAATATTTTCATCATCTTATATTGAAGAAAACCTCCCTAACAAACCACAGAAGGTAAAGAAACCTGAAAACTGGATGGGTTTGATGACTTAAATATTTAAAACTTCTGTAGAATCAGAAGTATCCCAATACTACCAGTGTTCTGGTTCAATTAGTAACTGGGAGAGCCCACCCTGGTTACTTAACCTTTTTGAGTCTTTTTTTTGAAACAGTCTCGCCTTGTCACCCAGGCTGGAGTGCAGTGGCTTGATCTCAACTCACTGCAACCTCCTCCTCCTGGGTTCAAGCAATTCTTGTGCCTCAGCCTCCTGAGTAGCTGGGATTACAGGTACATGCCACCACGCCCAGCTAATTGTTTTTGTATTTTTAGTAGAAACAGGGTTTCGCTATGTTGGTCAGGCTGGTCTCGAACTCCTGACCTCAGGTGATCTGCCTGCCTCGCCCTCCCAAAGTGCTGGGATTACAGGATACCCCAATGTTATACATGTAAAACGTGGAGGCCCAGGACATCCAAGTTTTTATGCCTCGTTACATAGCATAGAAGAGGCAGAACAGGCCAGACAAGGATAAAGTGACTTCATATTTGTTGGAGGTCAGTTTTGTATGCAGGTGCATTGTTCTGGGTGAAAGCACCTAGAACAATTAACCCTCACAACTTAATCCTCACAATTACCTTGTAAAGGAGATCTCATTTTCTACTCATTTTAAAGACATGACAGTAATTTCAGAGAGGTTATGCAATTTGCCCAAGACCACACAGCTGAGAAGAGGAAAAGCTGTGGGTGGTAGAGCTGGGATTCGTGGACCGTCTGACCTCGAAGCTCGTGTGGGTTCTGCAGCTCGGTCCTGCATCATGCACAGTTCCCCAAGCCCATGCACAGTTTGCAAAGCACATCAGTAGCAGAAACAGGAGTAGGTCCCAGGTCTCTGCATACCCGCTGCTCCCTGACGATATCATCTAGCAATCTGTTTGCTCAGGGCCTGGATTTGGCCTCTGTCCTGCCCCCTCAACCTCCCACTGGAGACTACTTCTGGGGAAGTTATGGTGCACAGGAAAGAGGATGAGAAAGTGGGGAAGACCAGGCTTTTGACTAGCTGAGAGGTAGGGCTGGGGAGCATACACCTAGGAAGGCTGGCTTCTGTAAAGTAATTGGGAGGTGGGGGTTTGTGTTTCTCCCAGTTCCAGTTGTCTGAGAAGTTCAGGAAAGTGTGGCTGTCCCCTCTACCCACCTCAAACACACTCCCACCTTCACAGACCCTCCCAAGGACACAGATCCGGAGGTGGCTCACAGAGATGTGCAGGATCAGATTCAAGGTGACACGCACCAGCATACACAGAACCACAGGGTTGCCCAGGCCCGGACTCTCCCACAGAGGCGGCAGATGCACACAGAGGTCAGCCACAGCACCCCACATGGAGGGCTGCTTACCCACAGAGGTGCAGAGGGTGCCACCTCCACCAGCCACCTTGAAGGTACCTTGGAGATTGTCAGGAAGGATGGGGAGGGCACACGGTGTTTTCTCTACAACTCCCCTCTCCCCCGCCATGAAAGGAGTCTCACTCTTAAAAGGGAACTCTGGCTCCTTTCCTACCATTTGTCCTTTCCCCGGGCTCAGTTCAGTTCCCCTCTGGCCTGGGGCGGGGGTGTGGGATGGGGGAGGGGCTGGAGTGTAGCCCGCGAGAGGGAAAAGGGGAGGAGGAGGGGACGGCAGGAGCCTGTCCAGGGCTTCCGGGCTGAGTGCAATCAGGGGGGCCTCGGCAACCTCAGTTTGCCGTCCCAGTGGCAGCCCAGATGGTGGGAGCAAGGGGCTGATTCAACTGCTGCCAGGATTCCTTGGTCCTGGAGGTGCTGGGAACAATGGTGGGAATCAGAGGAGGGGACAAGGTTGGGTGGCCAACCTCCAGAGTGGTGGGATTTGGGAGACTCGGACTGGGCCACTGTCAGAGGGGGCTGACACCTGTTATAGTGCCCCTGTGGCGGACCCTTCCTCCAGGTCAGGGTCCCCAGCTGATGTGTCTCTCTTGCCCCAAATCCTTCCGGAGGGCGTATGTGTCAGATGAGGAGCAAGGGGAACTAGGCAGTCAGGGGAGAGAAGGGAAAGGGGAGCTTGGGAACACTTCTGCCAACAACCACGTGACCCCGGGGAATGGCTGGGGAGGGGTCCCTCCTGCTGTCCCCACCAGCTCATTTGAGCAGGGGCCAGCCTGAGGCATCCCCGGCCTGTCTCCCCTCTGCTCATGCAGGCAGAGGGCTAAGGGCTGGCCTGACCACCTTACCGTCTGCGGGGGGCTGCCCACGGTCATCTCCACGTAGTAGCCCTGCCCCGACTTGCCCCTCAGGTTGTCCACCATCTCCACAAAGCTGCCCCTCTGGCCGGGCTCCTCGGGCTCTTCGTCGGTCTCCCGGGGCAGCCGCAGCCCCACGGGGGCTCCCCCCAGGCCGCTGCGCAGGGGCAGCCGGATGCCGTGCTGGGTGCCGTGGGCAGGCAGCACTCCCGCGCCCATCCACAGCAGGAGCCAGGGCAGGGCTTGGGCCATGGTGGGCCCCGGCCTTCGGGCCCTCTGGGCTCGCACTGGCCCACGTCCGTCCCTGGCGCCTGCCCCCAAGTCTGGGTGGTGCTGGTGGCTTCTCAGGAGAGGGAGCTTGGGGGCATCAGGACGCCAGAGCCTGCAGGGCCCTGGGCCAGCCCCCGGCTCCGGGCCGTGGAGAGCGGTCAGGGGAGATCCGCAGAGCACGGGAGCAGGGGAGAGGCTGGGATCCGGAGCCCGCTACATCGGCACGGCGGCGGCCAGCCACGGCAGCGGGCGCGGGCTCCCGGCGGGGCTGGGAGGGGCGGGCATGGCGGGCCGGCGGCGGCTTCCCCGGTCCCCCCGGCGGGCGGCGGCGCGGGCAGGGGCAAGGGCTCCGGGCTCCTGTGGCTGCGTTGGCTGCTCAGGCCACCATAATCCAGCTCGCGGCTCGCAGCTCCCGGGCTGGTTGGGGAGGCGGAAAGACTTGTGGCGGCGGCTGTCAAAGCCAAAGGGTTTTCGCTTTTCCCTGGGATCGCTGGGAAGTGTAGTCTTCCCATGGCTGGCAATCCGGCTTCCGGGGCTGGAGAGGGGTCTGGGATGCCCTCTGCCGAGGTGGAGTCCGCCCTGCAGGGCCCTGGCGGGAAGGGCCAGACGGATGGAGGAGGCACACCTCCCGTCTGTCAGTCTTTCGTTCAGCATGGAGGGAGCACCCACTGCACGCCAGGCACACTGCCAGGCGCTGGGGATACAGAGGGAAATAAACGGTGATTCTACACGGGACCGTTAAGTGATTCCTGCCAAGGTGGGGTTTCATACTATACGATGTGGCATTAAGGAGTAGGGATTTGGAGGGACATCTAGGGGATCTGAGAAGACTCAGTGGGAGAAGGTGGTATTTAATTTGAGCGTTTAAAAATGGGTAGGATTTTCATAAGCAGAGATTGAGGGAGCAGGATGAAAGGGGATGGAAGAGTTTTTCCAGGTTGCAAACTACCGGAGCAGGGTCCAAAAGGGGAAAGTGCAGTTGTCTATTTTCACCTGCGCCTGCGATCTGCGGGCAGGTAAGAGCCAGCGGGTCTTCTCCCATCTGAACCTGTTTGTGCCTTTGAGACTCTACTTGCCTTGAATCCTTATGACCCCACTGATTTTCTGCACCATCAGCCAGACTGAGGAGAAATGGCTGTTGATAGCTTTAAAGTGTTAACACTCCAAAAAGTATCTCTATATTAACTGGTAAGAGCTTAAAGCCTTGAACCAAAAGCGTTAGAGTTCTAATGGCTTAAAGAAGAAAAGCCGGTATGGTTTTAACGATATATTGTTTATCAAATGTGGAAAGCCATTGATAAAATTCAGCAGTTACTCTGATTTAATTTTTTTTTTAAATGAAAGGGAATTTTCTTTTTTCTTTTGAAAGGGAGTCTTGCTCTGTCACCCAGGCTGGAGTGCAGTGGCATGGTCTCAACTCTGCAACCTCTGCCTCCTGGGTTCAAGCAATTCTCATGCCTCAGTCTCTGAGTAGCTGGGATTACAGGCGTGCGCCACCACACCCAGCTAATTTTTGTATTTTTAGTAGAGATGTGATTTCACCGTGTTGGCCAGGCTGGTCTCGAACTTGTGGCCTCAAGCGATCCACCCACCTCTGCCTCCCAAAGTGCTGGGATTATAGGCATGGACCACTGTACCCAGCCAGGAAGCTTTTTAAACAAGATAACAAACAAACAAACAAACAAACAAAAAATAGTAGTAATAAAAGGCTAAGTTACTCCCTTTAAAGGCAGGCTTTGGAAAGGAAAGATCATTACTCTTACCCTACACAGTTCAGAACAGTCTGATTGACTCAAAAGACAAGAAAATGGAAAAAGTGTTATATATGTTGGATAGCAAAGGAATCATTAGTTGCAGATTATATGATATGGATACAAAATCCTAACCAATAAGGTGATTAGACACAAATTTAAAAAATCAAAATCAAAATAGAGAAATGTATGCATGAGAATTGTAAATATGATAGAAATGGCATTCATATCAGAGGAAAATGGATGCATTATTCAAAAACTGTTGTTGGGATGTCTGGCAGCCCATTTGGAAGGAGAAAAAACCAAATCCTAATTTCATTCATCTGAAAATAAACTCCAGATAGATTAAAGAATTTAATGTTAAAATAAAACTGCAGGAAAAATAGAATATTTTCATCATCTTATATTGAAGAAAACCTCCCTAACAAACCACAGAAGGTAAAGAAACCTGAAAACTGGATGGGTTTGATGACTTAAATATTTAAAACTTCTGTAGAATCAGAAGTATCCCAATACTACCAGTGTTCTGGTTCAATTAGTAACTGGGAGAGCCCACCCTGGTTACTTAACCTTTTTGAGTCTTTTTTTTGAAACAGTCTCGCCTTGTCACCCAGGCTGGAGTGCAGTGGCTTGATCTCAGCTCACTGCAACCTCCTCCTCCTGGGTTCAAGCAATTCTTGTGCCTCAGCCTCCTGAGTAGCTGGGATTACAAGTGCCCACCACCATGCCTGGCTAATTTTTTTTTTTTTTTTTTTTTTTTTTTGAGACAGAGTCTCCCTCTGTCACCCAGGCTGGAGTGCAGTGGCATGATCTCGGCTCACTGAAACCTCTGCCTCCTCAAGCGATTCTCCTGCCTCAGCCTCCCAAGTAGCTGGGACTATGGGCTCGTGCCAGCACGCCCGGCTAACTTTTGTATTTTTAGTAGAGACGGGAATTTACCATGTTAGCCAGGCTGATCTCGAACTCCTGACCTCAAGTTATCTGCCCGCCTCAGCCTCCCAAGGTGATGAGATTACAGGCGTGAGCCACCTTGCCTGGCCCCTTTTTGAGACTTGATTTTATCATTTGTGAAATGGAGATAATGATATTAATAGTTCAATCCTCAAAAGGTAAGAATTCGATGAGACAATCCATGTAAAACATTTAGAATGGTGTCCAGCATATTGTAAGTGCTCAATAAAGGTCAGCTATTAGTATTATTATTGTTGTAACTACTGAGAAAAGTGACATTTACAAAGTTAAAAGATTAGTCACAGATAAAGAAACAACGTTTACCACACAATAGAGACAAAGGGCTAATGTTTATAATGTGCAAAGAGCTTCTACAAATCAATATAAATCCAAAACAACCTGATAGAAAAATGAACAAAGGGTAAGGGAAAAGAGTGAGGAAAAACAACAAAAAACAAAAAAGAAAAGAAAAAGAAAAATGAACAAAGAATGTGAACAGGTAATTCCTAGAAGAAGAAATTCAAATGGATGGTAAACATGAAAAAGGTTTAACTTCGTTAATAGTTGAAAGAACGCAATGTAAAACAGTAGATTCTTTGTTCCTTTTTCTTTCTTCCTTTCGTTCTCCTCTCAGATTGGTAACATTTGGTATTGATGACGGTATTGTTTGGACTGTAAATTATTCCATTTTTGGAGAGTAATTTGCAATGCCTATTAATATGTTAAAAATGCAAATTATTTGGGCAATGTCATTTATAGGACCCTTTCCAACAAAAACAACAATATTTCAGCAGTGTGTACTATAGCAAAACCTTGGATTCAAAACAAACGAAGCTGGGTGTGGTGGTTCATGCCTGTAATCCAATCCACTTGGGAGTTTGAGGTGGGATGATCACTTGTGCCCTGGAGTTCAAGACCAGCCTGGAGACAGAGCAAGGCCCCATCTCTTTAAGCAAAACCAAAAATAATCATCAGGCCGGGTGTGGTGGCTCATGCCTGTAATCCTAGCACTTTGGGAGGCTAAGGTGGGTGGATCACTTGAGGTCAAGAGGTCGAGACCAGCCTGGCCAACATAGTGAAACCCAGTCTCTAATAAAAATACAAAAAAAATGGCCAGGTGTGCTGGCTCATGCCTGTAATCCCAGCACTTTGGAAGGCTAAGGTGGGTGGACCTCAAACCTGAGGTCAGGAGTTTGAGACCAGCCTGGCCAACAT